CGAACGTAGTCTTATCATCGTGTATAGATCTATCCCAAACAAATATTCCACAACATCCCTCACATAATCGAATACCTATTATCTACCCTCTTAAAATCCGTGATTTAATTCAATTTAGATAGTATCTATAAACCGTAACACATTTTGCTTACGCAAACGCTCATAATATTAATAAACTCCTGTTTGCGTTGAGGGGTGTAATTAAAATTAACCGAACGCCGTCTATTGAGGGGGGATTTCGGTGCAGTTTTTAATCAATCACTATCTTGTGTGTGCTCAAATTTCCATGTTAAACGCTGGCCTCTGCACAGAGGTGATCCGGAAAATTTCCTGGGTGCAGCTTGAGGGAAGATGGAAGTGGAAGTGAATATTTAAAATGTGATTGAAAGACGTGTGAGGATGTCAAAGGGAGAAGAAAAAAAATTGTTTCTGGACTAGAAATTCATTGTATTTAAATTGGGATACAGGTGGAAAATTATTGTGGCAATATTCTTGAATAAGATAGAGTTCAGATTGCATTGCATTATTTGACCCTTAAGTTAAAGTTCAGCATTTCGGTTTAAGGTCTGGTTTCATTCCTTTAGATATTCGCAGTTGGAACAGGCGGGTAGTTAGCAACCGCTATCTTCCAGAGGTTATCTTATTACTAAGTTAATGTTAGTGGTTTCTGGCACCCAAGGTAAAAAAATCTTTAATTAATAGTAGGAACTCGCCCCTGACGAGTTTATCTCAATGGTCCCTATTTTATTGCTTTCGCAACATATGGCGTCCATTAACTAAAATAGATATAATAATTGTATATAATAATGCTGGGCTCTGCAGGCCTGCCTTTTTAGAGAGGATGTACTATAATACAAAAATTAATGAATCCGTTTTTTGTTTTTTTTTTCTTATTAGGCCTAATAAACTTAAACCGACTCAATTTAGTCATTTGCAGACAAAATAGATGGCGAATGTATTTCGGAACATTTTGAGATCCAGTTGTAATCGATGTCACTTTCCAAGATGGTGGCCAATATGGCGACCTCCACGTTTGCCTCCGAAAACCGATCCCCACACCCCAAACAACAATCCAGGAGGGCGGCCAAACTTTTACAAGCGCGATAACTCCCAAAAAAGAATTACATTGAATTCACAATGGATCTACCCCGACATAAAACCTATGGAGATGCAATCCATATCCATTTATAAGCATAATATTGCGCCATCTGTGCCAAATCTCACAGGGTGTACTTTAAGAAAGAACGTCGTGAACGAACAATGCCTTGTATGTTAAAGAAGTTTAATCGCAATTGAGTACCTATCTCATTGCGACACATGTCCATGTTTGTTAAAATTGATGTTTTAGAGCAACTTTGTGCGGCAATAATCGGATGTATTGTGTATTATATCACTGACAGACCATTTTATGGCATTGTTACGGTTTTCGACAGAATTTCACAAAAAAAAACCAATTTAGAACAAATTACAAAGGAGGGAACTCGTTATAATTGATTACACATTGGGAATGGTCTCCGGAGATTGCGAGTTCTCCAACTAAATGAAATTTAATGTGTATACAAAACACTGTTGAAACGGACATGTATGAAAATGAAAAATAGATTTAGGATTTTATATGATAGATACATTTATTTATGAAGGTACGTGCTATAGGACTTCATTCTCAAAGGAAAACAATTTATTTTGAAAATATATAGTTAAGTAAGCCATTACAAGACAAGACAAAAGTTATGATACAGTACAAACAAATAAAGTATACAGGTAGGGTTGAACTATGCAGATATTGTGTGTGTATCTAGCGACACCGTAGAAACTACAAGGGTATACACCAGAATATTATTCCTGTACCCTTTCACGATATTGTTCATCAACATTTGGTTAGCATAACCAACATGCAGAAAATACAACATCGGAAAAAGGACTTCGGTATAAAATTACACGTTTTAGCCTTTCAAGCTCTTTGACATTCGATCTTCAAACAGGAAGGTTCATTGAGCAATTTTGCATTCAATTTCAAAAATAAATCGTTTATTGACTTAGTTTCTGTGTAGTATAAATAAGCGATAGATTCAAAGATAAAAAAGTCCCACGATCAAAGCTTACGTCGCCTCTCATGTTTGCGTGCTATCCAATTTAACCTTCTAGAAATGTCCCCAAGTTAAACATTTTGCGGCTTTTCAGACCCAATATATTTATAAGTTGAAATAAATTCGTCCGAAGTTCTTTTAAGTAACTCGTATATTGTATCGGTGGGCATTAATAATGATGGGAATTTTTGTGAAGCAAAATAAGTCTAGCCTTCAGATGGAATTGTTTACATTTTTATATTTTTGTTTGCTCCTCCATCGTGACACCATGTCCACACAGAGTTCTACCACTATTATTTAGGAACACTGTAGCAGTTATGTTCTTTATAATTTTATGATAATCGAAACACACTTTGCAGTAAGCTGGACCATTATGTCACAGAACGAATTTATGTAGAGAATAAATTTCTAGAATCAACAAGAAGTGCGAACAAATTTATTTGGAGGTGGACGTGGTCGGTGGTTAATTGCTCTAGGACGTTTATTCAACGATTTTAAAACCTTTAAATTACGCGTTTCTTTCAACTTACAACCCTTTCTGTCATTAGAGACAACAACCAGAGACGGCAACTTAAAGCTCTCAAATATCTTAAGGTGTACGTAATATGTTTCCAAAATAGTGCTTTCCAGAGGTGGATTTAACATCGTGGCCCGTGTGTTACGTCGCTCTCAAGAAAAATTTGATGCGCGGTGGAGCAATATAGTGCGCAGACTGTCGCCTCTTACACTCATACGGAGCACGAATGCCTATTTTTTTTTCACGTAACTTTCGGCATGTCGCATGTGGAGGATTTAAGAAAAAAAGGGAACTTCTTCGTGCAATAGCCGGGAATATTGCGGAGAGTTACGGTATTAGTACGTGAGTCGACATTTTCGTTTCGGTGAATTATTGGATTATTGTGCTCGCGCTTAAATAAATTTATACCACGAAAGCGTTGTGGCCCAAGGGGCAAAACATTTTATTGCGCTGTGCATTTTATTATGAACAATTAGTGAACCCAAACCAAAGATATTGGTAAAGTTTTCATTGCAAATATTTGCAAATAGTGGTCCAAGGTTCTGAAACGTTAAGAGCAGAGCAGAGTATGATTTGTAGAAAAAAATGGACAAAAACTGTAGTTGCTGTGAATACTTTATAGGCTTACGACAAATAGAATCAGCTGTTCTTCCTAATCAAACAATTGCTAGGAGTTTTTGCAATGAACTCAATCACAATTGCCACACCTGAATGAACATTTTTATTCTTCTGATCTACGTATCCAGACCTACCTGACGAACCGAACGGGACACCAGACACTGATGGGTTTAGCTTTGATGACCGTCCACAGGGACATCGTTATTTCCCCGCTAGAATAAACAAACGTCGAAATAGGCACAACTTGGCATCATAAATTTATTAATACATTCTTGAAAAGTACACTTAAAATTGACCTAAACTATTTTAACCAAACTTAACTCCATGTTGTTTATCTAATCTGTAGCCGTCCAATAAACTTCTTGTTTAGTGTGTGTGAATATAAGAAAAAGGTTACACCAGATTACAATACTTTTTTACTTTTTTTTAAATACGTTTATATTTACGATATGTATTGCTATGTAAACCAAGGGGTGTTATGGGGTATGTTTTCCTGGGTTGGTAAAAAACGTGCGTAAGTAACGTAATTTTCGGTTAGTTTTGGAAATGCCAAGCGGGACATCCTGTATTTAACACTATTCAAAGTTTAATCAGGAAATCTGGTGGAATGTTGTTACAAATAGGCTCATAACTGGTGACTTATTTATATTTTATTTGTGATTTTACTTTTGCTGTAAATTTTGTTCAATAATTTAGTAGGATTAATTGTTTTTGTGATTTAAGACGTAAAAGTTAAGACACATTTTGGCGACATTGTATGGAATATTTTCCGTTCGTGAGATAATGTTCGTGTCTCCATAACGTCAATATCATATTCAGCATTTGTTTTTAAGGGGAATTAAGAATTAAATAATTCATTCTAATAGGCAATGCCTTACTGAATAAGCGTGCTATCTTGTTTTATATCCTTTACCATCCTTTGGCCTGAGCATTCACTTTCTTGATATTGGTTTCACATTTTTGCCTACTCCAGATGGATCTTTTTTTTTTTTTAATAAATTTATTGCCAGATCAACAATCATAAGTTTGTTATACATAGCAGTGATAAGATTCAGTATGACTGTGTATCGTGACTTAGAGAGACTAAGTAGCGGTCCCTAGGAAAGTTAACCAATAATAAGTTAATCTTCTTCGTCGCCTGATAAAATAACGTCTTGGGGTAACCTGCGTTTGAGTCTGGTGTGGATATTTGGTTGAAATAGTTCATAGAACACCGCACCACTGCACGCACTTGAGTTAGTAATAAACTTTTTGGCACATTTATTAATATATTCTTGGATAGGCATTACTCCTAACTCTAAATGTAGCTGGGTGTTCCTAATATACCATGGTGCGTTGACAGCGGTACGCAGCACCTTTTTTTGGAATCGCTGCAGTTTTTGCATATTTGTTTTAGATGTGTTGCACCAAACCGGTGAAGCGTATAATGCTAAAGGTCGTAATAAGCTCTTGTATAGTAAGACCGTACATTCTATTTTTAGGGTTGATTTTCTGTTTATTAGCGGGTAGAGTTGCTTTAGCCTATTATAACTCTGAATTAATTTTTGGTTTATATGGTACTTCCAGCTTAGTCGGGTGTCTAAATGTACTCCTAAATATTTAGCGGCTGAGTCTTTGTCCATCCAGGATATTACTTTACTATTGACATGAATACTAGGAGTATCGTTGATTCTTCGTAATGTAAACACCTTGGCTTGGCATTTATCAGGATTTATTTGGATATTCCATTTTTTAAACCAGGCACACAGATTATCAATAGCTACTTGCAGTACTATTACTGTCTCGTTTAGGTTTGTAGCTTGAGTAAAAACGGCCGTATCGTCGGCGAAGGTAGCTAGTGTTGCGTTAGTTTCAGGAGTGTCGGATGTGTATAGATTAAAGAGTAATGGACCCAGGATGCTGCCCTGTGGAACTCCAGCTCGGATATTTTTAATGTCAGATAACGTCGAATGGACTTTGACTTCAAAGCTTCTGTTTTCGAGAAAGGAGAAGATGATGGCTTTGAGATAAGAGGGTATGCTAATTTTTAAGATTTTAGTTTTTAAGCCTTCAGCCCACACACGATCGAAGGCCTGCGCGACATCTAGAAATACTGCTGCAGTGTACTGCTTGTTTTCAAATCCTCGTTCGATATGTTCGCTGATCCTTTGTAATTGATGATAGGTCGAGTGATTTTTTCTGAATCCGAATTGAAAGGTGGGCAGGACATCTAAATTTTGGATGCTGTCGATTAACCGTTCGTAAATAACCTTTTCTAGCAATTTCGATAACGTTGTCAGAAGACTTTATGGTCTGTAGTTGTTTATTTTCTTTTTGTCTTTGCCTGGTTTCGCAAACATTAGGACATGTGCGTGTTTCCATGACTGGGGGAAATAGCCATATTTCAAGCAGGCGTTGAATATTGAACTGAGCGAGGCTAGGGTTTTTGAGTTGGTAATAAGGTCATGACCGGGAGATTTCTTTTTAGGTAGTTTGTCTATTAGGCTCTTTAGTTCTTTGGGGGAAGTTGGTGAGATTCGATCGGGTATAGGCGCATTTCTTTCGATATTATTTATAACTTGCTTGAAGTGGGTTTAGTTCTTTGGGGGAAGTTGGTGAGATTCGATCGGGTATAGGCGCATTTCTTTCGATATTATTTATAACTTGCTTGAAGTGGGTTGAGGAACATGTAATTATTGGGGTAAAAGTTTTTCAAGATGAGTAGCAAACGCTACTGTTTTTTCTGTGTCTGAGCTGTAGTTTTCGTTACCTGTTTCTGAGGACAACGTAGGCAATTCTTCAACTTGTTTTAATATTTTCCTAGTTGTTTTCCATAGCCCTCTGTCTCCTGGGCTAAAATCGGATATGTGTTTTCTGTAGGTGTTTATTCGTAGATTATCGAGTTCTCTTTTTATTTGGTGAGTAATATTATTTAATCGATTTTTAATTAATGCACTCCTTGTTCTTTGAAACTCTCGCCGGATTTGGCTTTTCGATTTAATTAGGCGAATAATGTACTGTGGAGGATAGTTGTAGTCTATCGGGAGAGATCTTTTTGCGGGTGTGCATGTCAGTTTTACGGTGTCAACTATTGCCGTGGTGATATGCTTAACGGCTGAATCAATGTCGTCAGTAGTGTGGAGGTTTGTGGGGCTGTCTACATTGTTGAGCAGCTCTTCAAAGCGGTTCCAGTCCATTTTTCCATTGATCAGTTTTGGAGCGGGTTGCTTAACGGCTATTTTATCTACATAGCAGGAGAGCTCTTCGCAGTCGGTACTGAATTGTACATTTACTTTTCTACCTTGTTTTCAGAAACGTTTCCAGCAACCTACCGGTAAGATTAAAGTGGAAGATGAATGAAAATTTAATGGTGGTTAAATAATTTAGGAATGGAGACGGTAAATTTGTAACCTTTTTTTTTCCTCTGTCATTTAATGAGCACGATCCATGCACGTGATTACTTACTAATGCCTCGTCTTATAATTAAATCAAAAATTGTTTTATTTGGATCTCCATTCGAGTTCATTTTTTAAAAAATCGAATACTTTAATTTAAATATATGTCACGGTACTTGTCTGCATAGTGTCTGTAAACAGCAAAACCCAGATTGCGTAAATTCAATTAATTCGTGTAACCAGAAATCAATTTGCTAACGTGTTTTCTGTTTACTTTGGCCGAAACCTACATCAACTTTATACCTTTGTTAGAATTTAGTTGGAATTTAATTAAAAGATTTTACGTGCCCTCCTTTAAGACCGAAAAACGCATTAGCGATTGGTTTCACGTATTAAACAACCGTTGGAAATGATAGATAGGTTCTCCGTTAAAGTTTTGGATTCAGCCTCCTGTCATCCACTAAAAGTACAATTATAAACTAAACTTGTGGGTCTATAAATATGGGAACTTTTGCGTTTCCGTAAATCATTACCGTGTGCAATGGGGATATTTTTAAAAGCAACTCGGAGGATAAATGCAGCTCCAATATGTCTGCAGATAACTATTCGTTGCGGTAAATATATGGGCCCGAAACTCGAAAAACAGAAACTAAAGTTTGCTAGTGCGACAAATATCCAATGGAAATAAATTTTGATAACTGTTGATCGAATTAATTCACCGTTCAATGTTGCGGTATTGTAGGTATTAGGTATATATATGATGTAGAACAGTTCCTTAAATATAATCTTTGTGGTATTTGCGCATGGTTACCCGCCACAATTAATTTTAATGGCTACGTAGTACTTTAGTGTCACAGTGGCTCTACGTAGCGGAAATTAGTTTTAGTTTCACTGATAATGCTCTAACTATTCATTAAGTTTACTGGTTTGCCTGTTGGTCCGTTTTCCCGGACCGGAGGTTATTTATTACCGTGCGCATTGTTGAAAACCTAGATGCAAATATAGGCGTCGGCTTTTACAATTATAACGGATATCAGGGGAATAAGTGTTTTATATAGGTCCGCTTTTACACCACGTTTAAGCGTTATCACGAAATTTAATTAGAAACGTTTGATTATTCCGTATTATACTGCACTTGCATTTTAATTATTATAAAAATGTAACTTACATAACAATGATAGATTTTTAAGATAATTAGGTAACGACTATTAACAAATTTTTTTGAAGGGTGTGCATCACCTGTAAGAACTCCTTTTGTATTTGTTAATTAACTTTTGTTACACAATTTAGAGCGTTGATTATTTCAAGGTGAGCGTTCTCCGAAGAGAGAATCAAACTCGGCTCGGCGACGCGACACGATGCAGCGCTGCAAAGCGTCGTTAAATAGATAGTGAAATGTCTTCGTACAAAAAAAAACTAATCCGAAAGATTGAAACGTAAGTAAACTAGGATGAAAGATTTCTTCGGGACAACAGCATGTAACGTAGATTCGACATCGGAGGTATCGTTGTATAAAGGTCTTGTAATTTATATCGAAGCAATTTACAATAACAATTTTCTTCAAATAGTAATCGATAAGACGTGCAGGTACCAATCATGAGCACTCAATAGGTCCTCAGGTGTAATAATTTTTGTAAGTCGATATCAACCAATAAATCTCTTGAACAAAGCATATAAAATGTCGTGTAATCGACTTAGAAGCCAACTAATAACGAAGCAATAATGAACATTCGCGACAGGTTCTGTTTGTACGTAAGCGGGAATTTTAAAAAAAGGGGAAAATTAAAAAAATGGCACTGTGCGTGACCTCTAGCAGTAAAATAATAAACTATGAAATAAAAACTTACACAGGAAACGTGCAGAAAAAACTAAAACTCGACCAGTTTATTTATTAGAACCAAACGAGACACCTATTTTCACCCTGAAGTTTACATACTTTCATGACCACCGTAGTGATATATGAACACCCGGTATCTGGAGACGTTTCTTTACGAAAAGTGTCGTTCTGAAAGTATCTGTGCTCGTTCTAGGAGTTGAAGATAGAAGGTAAAATTAATTGAATTAATTTCTAAAGTTGTGTTTCAGCCGCAGGTACCGTAAAGTAAGCAAAGATAACTCGCCGTTTGTAACAGTTCCCGTCAGGATATTTCAATTATCTTTGCTGCGCCCAAAAGACGAGGGCAACTTAATATTTCAGAACTTCAGCTCCGTTAAGCCATTATGAGCCGGTTTTGGTGTCCTATGTTAATTGAAAACAAGCTTAAAATCAGTCGAGGCCGAGCAGTCTACATACATGTTTATCAGCTTGCTATTACCGACCCCGCCTGTTGATCCCAACATTCCAATGTCAATTGGATTTTTGGAATTTAATCTCGCCCATTGAAGTGAGTATAATGAACAGTAGCTAGCTAAATGAGTTGCAATAAATAGCATCTACACTCTATTCATTTTAAGAAGGTAGCGGTAGAACGCATGCGGAACCTTTTTTTTCAGAATATTCAATCCGTATATTGAAATCGAAAAATGGACCTTACCACCGTTTCTAATTTGTTGAGTTTTCAATTCCGCGATACAGAACGTACATTTTAAAATCGTGCTTATCAATTCTGCAGTTCATCTTTAAATTCGCGTTCTACGTTGCACTACCAAATAATCTTTTTTGCAAACAATAAGGAATTAGGTTAACAATTCTCCTAATTTTATGAAGGTCATAATATCATAAATATCGTTCTTTTTATATTTCAGTCTACTGTATCCATTACACCCATGCACGTATGCATAACATTATGCTTATGTAGAAGAACATACTGAATCTCGTCTAATAAAAACGTGTTATTGTTTGTTATTATTACACCGCGTGGCTACGATTTCCTATCTAATGAAAAAATTCTTTTTATAATATAAGCACCCGAACATCTACTTCATAATGTCCTTTATCAAAAGAAAAATGAAAACAGGAGTATGGCACACGTCAGTCTCAATTAAATCAACCGGTCACGTGTAATATTGGCTACTATTCTCGACGGAATACAAGCTTCCGCAAAAACATGGCATTCTGGAATTGGGATTAAAAAAACAATGTTATGTTATGGTGATTTATTGGAAACATTATAGTCCAGTCAACCTGTGTCGTAAAACACCCGTTGAAGGAAAAAAATAGTATAAAGCTAATTTTTTCCCCATCGACTACTACCATTTAGACAAGTGTTTAGCCAAAAGTCCCCGCCCCTACCCCCCTTGCTTCACCCCCTGTGCTCCCCTGAACATGAAAAGTGTAGGGGTTTCGTAAATCGCGTCTCTCTCGATTACTAAACAACATATCGGATTGCAATTTGTTTTATTCTCTTTGCTATAACATTGTCTACAAATAAGTTTCAGTTGACTTTCGTCGTAACTTTTACCGTTTGTTGGTAATGACTATGAAAAGGTAAAAAGTAGTATATTTTTCGGCACGTAATTTTACTTTTTGTCGCAGAAATTTTCACGCCGACATTTTATCAAAAAATGTTGCCTACAAAAGTTGTAGCTCCCATTATTACCTTTAAAATGATATGACAGTACGTACTTTGTTGAAGAGCCTGCGAGATTCAGCCGGTGTAAAGCAGAATGCGTACCCAGTCGTGGCGGGCTTCGTCGAGGTAGGCCCGGCGGCGCGACGTTGCAATGCTAATATTGTTGTATAGTGAGTGTTTTTTTTTTAACTTTAAGGTACACTATTGCATTTTCTTTAAACAAAACCAAACGAGCCTCAGTGAAACCTAAATTCCACCCTTTTTAAATTTGTGTCAAATATTAATAAGTCCTTGTATAAGTACAGCTAAAAAACATATTTTAAATAGTTTTTTGTTTGAAAATGCATGTAATATTTCGTTTATGTTGATTTAGGAGAAAATAATTGCGGTATCTTAATTTTTTTTTATTAAAAAATAAATTGATGTTGACCATTTCCGATTTGTTCTCGTTGATTTTGCCTTTGCCGAATAAAGACGACCTGGTATCACATTCTGTGATAACATAAAAAAAATAATATCACATCCTTCATATCACCAATCTCTTCACGGGTCTTGCTGATGTCATAGGTTGATGGTGTGCCAGAGGGCTTGTGAAAGAATAGTTGTACATTTTGGCACTGTGGTAGCCCTAAGAATACAACGAAAAGATCGGAATCCTGTCCGACAACAACTGTAGGCCTCACACTTTGAATCCGGGAGACACTATTGCTCTTCCAAAATCAACGCGTACAAGTTGCTAAGTTCATCAAATGACAGTTTTATGAAAAACAGGCAGACAAAAATATTCTCAAAAAGGTAGGAGAGGTTTTTTTCTTGAAACAAATATGGATGCACAAGGTCTGCATGTCTGATAGTCAATGTAACTTAAAGCTGTTGCAAAAATGTCATTAAAATCCAAATTTAACATAGCATCCCTCCCTCCAACATCTGGTGCTTCTGAACAACACGCTTATCGTCTATCGAGTATACTATCAGATTCAAAACTGGATCCTGCAACTGCAAAAAGGCTTGCAAAAGTAATGGCAGCTGCTTTAAAGCATCACTTGTTGCACAGAAATGTGTGGGAGCTGTGGCGGATCATGCAGTAATGTAACTTTGGTTGAAGTCAAGGAAAATGAAGAACTTGTCCTGGAAGTTTAGGAAATCGGAAATGATCAACATCAATTTATTTTTTAATGTGAATAATCTGAAAATATTTTTTACTTCAAATTAAGATACCGCAATTAGTTTGTTGTAAAATAACATAAAAAAATATTACATGCATTTTTAAACAATAGTTATTTACACAAA